GTCTGTTATTGTGATCCCTCCTTCTTCACTTTTCTCACTGAGGATTGCTTTGCTTCTTTTGTGCCTTTTATTTTTCCAAATGAATTTCATGAATGCCTTTTCTATTTCTATGGAGAATGTTATTGGAATTTTCATAGAACTTACATTGAATATGTATAGAACTTTTGGTAGCCATTTTGATAATATTAATTCTGCCTATTCAAGAACATGGGAGATCTTTCTACCTTCTAAGGACTCAATAGATGCAGAAAAAGCATTTGACAAACACAGCATCCATTCATGTTCAAAACACTATAAAAACTAGGGATAGTAGGAACATATCTCAACATTATAACAGCTATATATGTTAATCCCAAGGCCAACATCATTCTAAATGAAGAAAAATTGAAAGTATTCCCTCTAAAAACTGGAACAAGAAGAGGATGCCCTCTTTCACTACTTCTGTTCAACATAGTTCTTTATACTCTAGCAAGAGCATTTATACAGAAGAAAGTAAAGGGATGCAAATAGGAAAACAGGAACTCAAACTATCCTTATTTGCCAATGACATGAATCTGTATTTAGGAAACCAAAAGAACTCCAATAGAAGACTTCTAGAACTCATAGATGAATTCAGCAAAGTAGCTGGATATAAAATTAACATCCATAAATCAATTGTGTTCCTGTACATCAGTGATGAATCAACTGAAAGAGAAATTAGGAAAACTATCTCATTCACAATAGTCTTGGAAAAAAATATTTAGAAGTCAATATGATAAAAGAGGTGAAAAGGCCTCTACAATGAAAACTACAGACATTGAAGAAGACCTTAGAAGATGGAGAGATCTCCCATGTTCTTAGATTACTCTTCTGTTCTCTAGTTGTTTCTTCTTAGTCTTATTCTTCTGAATCTCAAGACCTAGTGAGTCATGGGGTTGGTCTTTGTAACAAGATATATACACTTACTGGCTAAGTATTGTCATCTCTCCAAAGAGCTTTAGATGCCATCATTATGTAAACTTGAATTTCTAACCCAGAGGTCTAGGCTCATGTATGACATGACTGCTATATTGATATATCTACTTATATGTATAATATACTTCTCAAAATTTAATATATCTAAATTTATTTATTATTATTATTATTATTATTATTATTATTATTATTATTGGTACTGGGGATTGAACTCAGAGGTACTTTACCACTGAGCTACGTCCCCAACCCTTTTTATTTTTTTTATTTTGAGACAGGGTCTTATTAAGCTGCTGAGAGCCTTGTTAAATTGCTCAGGCTGGCCTCATATTTGTAATCTTTCTACTTTAGCCTCCCTAGTTTGGGATTACAGGCGTGCACCACCATGTCTGGCTATTTTTCTTTTTCTTTTTTCATACCCAGTGAACAGAGTGTTCCAAGTAGAATGAAGAAAAATAGAATGAAATTCCAACCCTGTGAGGGAAATTTTTAATGTATGTATTTTTTACGTTGAACAGAATAATTTTTTCTAGTGTATTTCTTCCTTTATAATAGCATCTATTTAAAAAGGATCTGGAAGACATCTTCCAGATGTTAGAGAAGGTCTATTTAGTTCTGTTTTAGTCAGGGTCCTGCACAGAAACAGAAGGCTCTGTTTATAGTCTTCATTTCTTGAGAGACATTACTATTAGCCCAAATGACAAAATTCAGAACCTGGAAAAAATTATGGCTTTATTGATCTCTTACTCTCAATATAGGTGTTTTAAGCCTATCTATTTTACTGTCATTTTTTCTTGGTCAATCCCACTGTCTCTGTTTTATCAGGCCCCCATCATTTCTCTTGTAGACAACAGTAATACTTTTTTTCCGGTTTCTGTACTTCTAATTCAGTGTCTGCAGCCTTTGCCACATTACTATTAGAGTTATCTTTCTAAACACAAATCTGATCATGTAAATTTGGTACTTACAACTTACTATTTTCTTTACTCACACTGAAAGTTAAACTACTGTGATTTTGTGGATTTTCTGAGTCTTACCACTTAACATCTCTTCTGAACATCCATGCTCCTACAGTATTAGATTATTTGTAGTTCTTTGATCTCAGCTGCTTTATGCCTCTTTACCTAGATATATGGCCCTTTTCTGCAATAGATTCAAATCTACCCCAACCCATTTTTTGTAGTACTGTGTTTGAGTCTTCTAAAACAAAAATACCTTAGACTAAGTAATTTACAAGCAACAAAACGTTATTTTTTTATAGTTCTGAAGACTGGGAAGTCCCAGTTCAAGACACCAGCAGATGAAGGATCTGATGAGAACTGGTTCCACAGAGATGGTGCCTTTTGGGTGTCCTCACACCATAAAAGGGAAGCTCAAATAAGGCCCTTTAGGTGTCTCACATAAAGGCATTCATCTTATTCATGAGGATAGAGCCCTCGTGACTTAGTTTCAAAAAAGTTTCGCCTCTTAATACGAGCACATTGGGAATTAGGTTTCTGCATTTGACTTTTGGGGGGAACATAAACACTCAGATTATGGCATGAAAATTCAGCTTAAATTTCACATCTTTTATAAAGGATTTTTTGATTAGCTCCAAATCTGACACCTAGTTGCTTTTCACTCATTTATGGCTTCAATGAGGCTTCAATCACCTAACTTCTATATTCAAACTCAACATGTATAATTCCTACAACCATTCTCTGTATAACATGTTTTTCCAACCTCTTATTTTATACTATCATACATACTATATCATCCAATCTATTCAATTAGCCTTACATGTTGTCAATTCCTTAGACTTCAGCTCTATGGTGGAGATGTTTTTTATTTTTTTATTCTAATTTGTTATGTATGACAGCAGAATGCATTATAATTAATATTACACTTATAGAGCACAATTTTTTCACATCTCTGGTTGTATACAAAGTATATTCACACCATTCATGTGTTCATACATGCATTTGGGGTAATGAGGTCCATCTCATTCCACTGTCTTTTCTACCCCTGTGCCCACTCCCTTCCCCTCCCACCACTTTGCCCTATCTAATCTTCCCATGCTCCCCCTCCTAACCCCACTATGAATCAGCTTCCTTATATCAGAGAAAATGTTCGGCATTTGGTTTTTTGGGATTGACTAACTTCACTTAGCATTATTTTCTCAAACTCTATCCATTTAAATGGTGGAGGTCTTTTTAAGACAGAGAGAAGATCAAGTTGGTCTAGTATGTGAGCTTCCCAGAATGAGATTCTTGCAAAAGGCATGAAGGGATACACAAATATAAAGATGAAAAGGGAATACACTAGGTTTATTGAAGAAATAATGTTCCAGAAATCCACGAGAAGACTGTACTAACACTGCCAACACATCAGCAAATAACTCTGGGAACACAGAATAATTACTCTGCATCTCAATTCTCCATCTGGCAAAATACAGAGTACTGGATTAATAATATCTCTGTAAAGCCTGGCATGGTGGTGCATGCTTATAATACCAGCTACTTGGGAGCCTGATGAGGGGGGATAGAGAGTTTGCAAGTTTGAGCCCCATTCTGGGCAACATAGTGAGGTCCCATCTCCAAATCTCTCTCTCTCTCTCTCTCTCTCTCTCTCTCTCTCTCTCTCTCTCTCTCACACACACACACACAAGTATTATTTCTGTAATCTGAAATTATTTTGAGTCAAATTTTCCAAATTAAATGATTTGCATGATAAGAAGGAAAATCTTCAAAAATAATACTTGTTCTCAATTCTTTTTACTTATTTTTACTTATTTACTTTTACTTTTTATTTATTTACTTATTTTTACTTATTTGTTTATATTTTATTTTGCTTTGTTTTATAAATGAGTCTCATTATGTTGCCCTGGCTGTTCTCAAAGTCATGGGCTCAAGTGACCCTCCCACCTCAGCCTATAGGTGTGTGTCATCACAATGAGCTAAAATGAATAATTTTAAAGGGCATATCCTCCTTTAGAAAGTAAAATCCTTAGGAAGTAGTGCGGAGAATATGATTGCTGAAAAATATGCTGGCTATCAAAATATTATGCTTCACTTAGATACATGGGACAAAAATATGAAGACTTCAAAATAAATGTTAAATAGTTAAACATCCAGCAGAACTATAGATATTTATACAAAATCAGACATACAAATTGTGTTTTAAGCCACCTGATCAGTTTTTAAATTATTTTTTAGTTGTTGTTGGACACAATACCTTTATTTTATTTATATACTTATATGTGGTGCTGAGGTTTGAACCCAGGAACTTGCACAAGCTAGGCGCATGCTCTACCGCTGAGCCACAACCCCAGCCCAGATCCGTTTATTAATATGAAAAGGCCATGTGCCAGCACTAACCCCCCATCAGAGAATAAGGCATTCTGATTCTTACAAACACTCATTTTCATGAAGTATCCAAGAAAAACATGATTTTGAGGACTTGAACAATGGAATATGAAGGAAAGAATGAGCTAAAGGTATTTCAAAGAAGCAAATATTTGCTCTGATTTATAGTTAAAAAAAAAAGAATCAAGAAGTTCCAGATGATATAATTCATGAGAAGGGCATAAAACGGGCATTGGTTTTATGGAGAAAAACTACTCAAAGCTCTATCCATTTTATGACAGCTTAATTTTTCTTCTATCTTGTCCTACCTTATCAAAAACAGAAGTCTGACTGAATTGTAAGAGAAGGGTTTAAGAACAGAAAAATTTACTTGTACATGAATTGTGTTTTGAAGATGAACATAAATATATGGGAATATAGGGAGTTGCTTTAAAAGTTGCCAAATCATAACAATTATGTGCCAGGACTGTCATCAGAAATTATCTCCCTTATTAAGGGTGAGTGAAGAGACTAATCTTTTAATAGAGGCCCTTTTAGAAGGCAGCATTAACAGAAGAAAACTGGTAGAAAAGGCCTGAGGGGGAAATGAATCCAGTCCAGCCTGAAAAAAATTCTGCTCCAGGTTTCAAAAATTACCCCTTCCTCCTGTGTAAGTGAGATGCTAAGAAGCACAACTGCTTTTTGAATCTAAGTCTGCAAAGGAGCTGTGTAAGAGGGGTGGGACGGAGATGGCACCCAGGATCTCTGGGGCACTTGCTCCTTTCTGAGCCAGACAAGGGTCAGGAGCTGGACTGGGACCAGAACACCAGCAAGGCGTCAGAGAATGTTCTCTAAATAAAACCATGGCGCTTAAGAAAAATAACCACCTTCTCATCTTCTACCTCAGTTTCTCACTGTTCATCTACGTAAAGAGTAAGCTATTCCCATTTATTGAACTTTTTTCCACTTTTTCTGACTTCTTCCTAGCTTATTATATTTCTTGAAAATAGTTCATAGTGTTGTGTTGTTCTACAAAATACAATGCAGAAAAGGAAATATTTATTTCTTCTTGGTGTCAGCAAGTGTCCTGTTTTGAATAAATCAGTGATATCAGTCAATGTGAAGAGTCAATTTTGTGATTCCCAGTAGATTCAGAAAATGTTTTTATAACCCTTTAGCCATGATCAGGAGAATTAAATGGTCACATAGAAAAGAAGATATTTTGTTTTGTTTACAGTTTTACAAAATAGATTATTGGTAGTTTATAATTGATATCCTTTCAGAAAGTTATTTATAAGTTATGTTGCATTTTATTCCCACATTCTCACTTTTAAAGAAACTCTGTATTCCAACATTTGCTCTCATAATCAAAGGGATGGTCTCGATGTTTCCCAGAGGATAATGGTTCAAAATGTCTCTTTGCCAGAGAAATGGGCATCTATTGTTATGTGCTTCTATTTTATAAATGAAGATATTATTTTCCAAAAACTTCACCAAATAGAAACAAGAACAATGTTTCTGGGATAACCTTGTCAAATGCATAGCAGTATGAAAAACCAGAGGAGACCAAATGGCCTCAGCTGTGTGCTTATGAAGGGGAGTAGCTATTGAACACGTTTAAAATGAAGGCAAGAAGAGTGTGTGCTTGTCAAAGGGCCCGTGTGATTTGTGTCTGTTGAATCTGAATATCAATAAGGAGACGCATAGAGCAGCTGCTGTTGAACAAGACGACTTGGCATTAATGCACAGTGCTGTGTAATCTGGGTCACGTTCTGTGGACACACCAGTGAGATTGTTACTTGTACAGTTAACAGCTGAACATATATCAGAGACTGGGAAAGACAGAAGTAGATGCTATAGCTAGGTAGCTGAAGACAAGTTCAGAAAAACAAGTCCCAACTTTAAACACGAATAGTAAAATACCCAATTGTAACCCAGGCATACACCCATGCAGGAATGTGTTAGGATGTGTATTCATTAAAGAGTTGTTGTTTAAACAGTTAATCACCCTCCCTGAAATTTGAAGTGTGCCCCATGCAGTAGAAAGTTGGGAAGATGAGGTATGTGGAGATGAAAGGGTAGAAAAGTGGGAGGTGAAAGGGTAGAAAAAGAAAAGACACATAAAATGTAAGATGAAATAATATTATGACATTTAAGAAGCAGAGAACATTGTCATTTCAAAGCAATATATATTAAAATTCCTAGGATCTGCTGCAGTTTGCTTTTAGGGAGCTGAATATGTAACCTTTACAGCATAAATTGTTTTTGGCGGCATAACTAAGAACAGATAATTATATACACATCATTTCCATTTTCTTTTTTTTTTTTTTTGCATGGACAGAAGTTATTTTATTGATGGATTCTAAATAAAGATTTTGTAATTCCTTGATTTATTTTCCAATATAACCTTATGTGAGTTTAACAAAGTTAATCTGAAGCTTCTTTCGTTCAATTTTTAAAGTCAGAGTTTTACTGTATTAATCTATTTTCTGGCAAGGTATGATGATATTGCCTTTCTACTCAAAACACTTGGTTTAGCTTTTATAAATCTGCTGTTTTTTAAAACTTGACTTTAAAACTTCCAGCAACCTGGTTCCAGTTTTCTTACTCATGCTATGACATGCTACTCAACATAAATCTTATATTCCAACCATGTAATTAAATTAACATCTAATTGTAAAAATGGCCAACATTACATTAGACATTTTATGTCTGTTATATTTCACTCAATTAGCACAACAACTCTATAGGATAGGTATGACTATAATCATCTGCATTTTACTGAATTGAAAACCAGAACTCAAATCACTATACCAGGTTATCTCACACTTTAGCACTCATCAGGGAGCTGGGATGCAACCTCTCAAGTTCAGCCACAGGTATTTTGTGTGTCTACAGTGGATTCTTGGAGCCTATAATTTTAACATTCTCTCTGTTTCAAATGTAGTGGTTAGAAGGTCTGAATTATACAATAAATATAACAATACAATATTTATTGAATTATAGAATAAATAAATACAATAAATTATGTAAATAAACTGATAGCTCACTACCTTATGATGCAAGGAATCACCAGAATAGTTCATCTTAAACATATCTCTCTTTCAAAGTGGTTTTTTAAGAGAAAAATAATAGACATGAAAATTTTGAGTGTTATTTCAACCTATATGCTTAACCATCATTTCAAGTAGAATTTACTATTAATTACATTTTATAGCTGAGGAAACTGAGGCACATAGAGGTTTATTAACTTGCCCAGGGCCATACTACTAGTGAATGGTGGAACTGGGATTTGAGCCTACAGGCCTGGCTCTTAAGTAATTCCTTGATTTATTTTCCAATATAATCTTCTATTAGTTTAACCAAGTTAATCTGAAGCTTCATTTTGTTCAATTTTTAAACAGAGTTTTGCTGTATTCATCTATTTTCTGGCAAGGTATGATGATATCGCCTTTCTACTCAAAATGCACTGTGCTAACACAACACTTATTTACATGCAGTGATAATGCATAAGGGCTTTAGCACTCTGGTCAGAACATCATAAGCACACAGGAAATATCAGTGAATGTCCTATTAGTAGAAATTAATAATAGCCTTTTCTTTTGCACCTTGAAGAAAGTCCAATTCTATTACATTTAAACTTTCTTTCCTGTCTTTCATTTGAAAAAATCCAAAAATCTTTTCACTTTGTCACTCTACAGGAAATTACAAGATCTGAAATTCTTAAAAAAAAAAAAAAAAAAAAGGAGGAGGAGGAAGGAAAGAAATTCCCTTAAATTTAAGAGAAGTCATCTGTAGCTTTAAAGAGTATTTTTTTTTTTAAGTTGTGCCTTGCTCTTCTATGAGGTGGATGGAGTTTATGTGGTTTGTGCAGTGCCTTACAGACTTAATGTCCAGTTAAGAGCATGAAACTCAAGGAGTATTAGAGATAAATTCACCAAGTGGCATTCATTTCTTATTCCTGAGCAGGTAGACAATCCTCTTTCTTGGAGTTGTAACAAATTTGCTCTTTCTCTCTTCCTGATTGTTCTTACGTGTGTAGAACAATTTTGCAAAATTGGTTCTAATGCATGGAATCAGTTGAATTTTAATAATTAAAGTGGAGCTATTCTTTTTTGCTTTTGATATGTTGAGATAGATTTTTATTAGTGTGAGACTCCTCTGACCCGTTATTTTGGGACTGTTAAAAAAACAATGAGAGCACTTCATAATCAACTCTGTTTGGAACCTTGATATGAATCTGTTGTGACAGGTTTAAAAGAAAACTACCATATTAAAGCAACCATAAATTAGAAAAGTAATTTATAGCTACCTTTCATTAGTCTATTACAACTTGGGGGATAAATTGAATATTTTCAATGTAATTGCCACATCTAGACTAATTTAACAGTAATTATTTTCATTTATATTCAAAGCATGATCATGGCAGGTGAATGAAATGTGGTTTGACAAAACTATTATTAGAGCTACGTGAATGACTTCAAAGAATTTGGATAATCTTCTAAAATCCATTGGAAATTACTAAGTAATTCAATTTGAATAGAACACTTGCCTTTAAAAAACAAACAGGATCTTTAAAGATAAACTATGGCTTATTTATCTAATCTTAATGCCATTATCCAGAAATAATTGAATTTCTTCAATATATCAGAAATGGTAGATGTTATTCATCAGGGAGTAATAGGAAAATTTAAAACTTTGCTACTCACTATGCAAGTTAATATTCATACTGCGACAGGTTATAAAGTGCCTACATAATTATTAGTGCTGGAAAAATGTATCTTTGCTTCTTCATAAGTAAAAATAATTATCAGCTTACAGTATAATAGTCTCTACTTGTTTCCTGCATCACACAGCAGGAATTAATTTTAGTTTATCTTTCTATATACTTATCTTAGGCAAACCAGATTTTTCTGGAGAATTGCATACTTCTTTCATCTTTAGTGATTTTCAAAAATTACCATAAATTCATGGTCATATTATAGCAATTTGTGAAATTTAAATGTACAAGAAAAGTTGGAGCTTCTAGTTCTATTTTAAATTTCATTGCTCATTTGTTAGGAAATCTCCAAGGAACCCACTTTTATTCTTTCAACAAATGAAAATGAGAGGGTTTCTTTTTCCTTTTTCCATCATTCTCTATCCACATCAAGTATTCACTGTCTATACTTAGACTGCGCTTTGAAGTTTTCTTCTATGGTATGTATCAAAATTCAGAAACATTGTTTTTGTATTAATTTATTTATGCTTACCTGTGAGAGCCCAGGACATGGCTGTAAGAACCATGAGTGTCTTGTTAAGACATAAACCAAGTTACTTAAGGAAGAGTTATTTAATAAATCAATTAATGATGAAATTTTTATAGCATTTTTTGTAAGAATCTTCCATCCTAACAACATTTTAAAGTATTTTTTTAACTTTTGCATCATTTACTTTTTTCAATACCCTTTAGAATAGTCCTAGAGTTATATAAAAGTTAAGAGAGTAGTAGGGAGGGATCCCTTATTCCCCTACTATTGACATCTTACATTAGTGTGGTAGATTTGTTATGACCAAGGAACCAATATTAAATATTATTATTAACTAAAATCCATAGTTTGCTCATACTTCCTTAGCTTTTACCAAATGCTATTTCCCTGCTCCAGTATCCCATTCAGAATGCCACTTTGCTATTGGTTGTTATATATAATAGACTTCTCTTGACTGTGACAGTTTCTCAAGTTTTCCTTGATGTTGACGATATGGCAGTTTTGAGGAGTACTGGCCAGATATTTTATAGTTTTCCCCATTATTGAAATTAATATCGTGTTATTATCATGAGACTGAAGTTATGGGCTATTGAGACAATGATCACAGTGTCATTGTTGTTATGTTGTACCAGTGATACATATAATCAACATGATATGTTCCTGCTGATGTGACCTTAACCACCT